CGCCGCCCACACCTCCGCGCGCTCGTTGCGCGCGCACGGCCGTGGCGTTTCCATGGGCGGCGGCGCGGGGAGGGGCCCCGGCGGTGCTCGGGCGTTAGGAGGGCGTCGCGGAGAGGAGGCGCACGGTGCGCCCGCCGCGCGGCGGCGGCTTCTTCCGGTCCGTGTGGGGACGGGGCGGCGGCCGCGTGGGCGCGTAGGTCGGGAGCGCGGGCGACGTCGCGTCGTCCTTCGCCGGGCCCCGGGCCGGCGTCGCCGGGGGCTCCCCGGCGGCCCGCGGCCGCGCGGGCGTCTCCGGCGCGCCCGCGGCCGCGGCCGCCGCGGCGGCCTCGCGGTCCTGGAGGAGCCGCCGCACGTCGAGGGCCGCCGGGCCCGGCGCGCGCGCCGCGAGGGCCGCCGCGTCGCGGCCGCGCCGGTCCCGCGCGCGGCCGTCCGCGCCCGCGTCGAGGAGCCCGGCGACGACGGCGGGCAGCCCCGCCGCCGCCGCCTGGAGCAGCGGCGTGAGGCCGCGGTCGTCGGCCGTTTCCAGTAATCCGCCGCCCGCGGCGGCCGTCTCGGATACCAGCCGGAGCGCCGCGCCCGCCGTCGCGCGGCGCAGGCACGCCGCGTGCACCGGGAGCGTGCCGCCCGCGCCGCGATAACCGACGAGCGCCGCGCGGTCCCCGGGCGACATCGCGCCCGCGCAGAGCGCGAGGGCCGCCGCCTCGTGGCCGCCGAGCGCCGCCGCGTGGAGCGCGCCCGCCGCGGGGCCCAATGCCGGCGCCGCGCCGCGCGCGAGGAGCAGCGCGCAGCACGCCGCGGCGCCCGCGGCCGCCGCCGCGGACAGCGGGCACTCGAGGCGCGACGCGCGCGTCCGGACCTCGCGGCCGTCGCAGCGCGCCTCGGCGACGTCGACGGCGCGGTCCGGGTCCGCGCCCGCGTCGAGGAGCAGTTCGACGGCCGCCGCGCGGCCCGCGGACGCCGCCGCGAGCAACGGCGACAGCGTCTGCGTCGCGTCCGCGTTTGGGTTGTAGGCCGCGCCGCAGGTCGCCGGGTCCGGGTCCGCCCCCGCGGCCAAGAGCGCCGCGGCGAGGCCGTCGAGGCCCTCGAGGCACGCGTAGAGGAGCGCGTCGGACCCGCGCTCGTTGCGGACCGTCGCGTCCGCGCCGCGCTCTAAAAGCAGCGCCGCGACGTTTCCGTGGCCGTACTGGGCGGCGACGACGAGCGCCGACGAGCCCCACATGCCCCGCGCGTCCGCGCGCGCGCCGCCGTCGAGCGCGGCGCCGGCCGCCGCGGCGTCGCCGGCCTTGGCCGCGGCGACGAGCCGCGCGTCCGCGTCCGCCTCGCCGTGGGGCACGGGCGGCCGCACGACGAGGCCGTCGGCGAGCCGCTCGAGCCCCGCCTCGCCGCACCCGGAAACGGCGACGGCCGGCGGCGGCCGCGCCGGCGCCGCGGGCCGTTTGTCGGGGGCGAGGGACTCGCCGGGCGCGTCGCAGTCGGGCGCCTCGCACCCGGCCGCCAGCGGCGTCACCTTCCCCCGGAAGCACAGCGCGTAGCGCGCATACCGGTACAGCGCCCCGACCATCATCGACGCCGCGTCGCGCCTGTCGCGCCCCGCATGTCGGTTTTGGGCAGCCCCCGGCATCGACGGCACCTTGAAGGCGGTGCCGCATCGGTGCCGCATCGGTGCCGCACGGCATGATCACGACGCATGACGGCCTTGCGCGAGCTGCTCGGTTTTTAGGTGACCGCTCCGAGCCGTCCTCTCTCTGCACACGCGGCGCTGCTCGAACGATGATGCGCGCGCTGGTCGTCGCCCTCTGCGCCGGCGCCGGTGCGCTCGAGCTCGCCGTCGTGTCCCTCGCCGTGCCGAAGGCGTCGGAGCGCTACGGCGCGGCGGGCCGGGCCTGGCGCTGGAAGTCGGCGGTCCTCGGCGACGACATGGCCTTCCCCCGGCCGCGCAACGCGCGCGCCGTCGCCGAGGCCGTCGTCGCCGAAAGCGGCGGCGCCGTCGCCGAGGCCGCGGCGCTCGCGACGTGCGCGCGCCTCGACGTCGTCGTCGCCGGCGCCGACGGCGAGGCCGCCGCCGCCGCCGCGCGGGCGTGCCTCGCGGCGCTCGTGCTGCGGCACGGGCCCGGCGGCGACGTGCGGCGCGCGCTCGACCGCGCGGGCGGCGAGATCGCGGCCGCCGCGGCCGCGGGCGTCCCCGCGGGCGCGGACGCGGGCGACCTCGACGGCGCCTTCGCGACGCGCGCGACGACGCGCGCGGCCGCGGAGCGCCTCGCGCGCGTCGCCGCGGGCGCCGACGACGGGCCCGGCGCCTTCGACCCCTTCTCGTCGCGGCGCGCGCACGTGCTCAAGCAGGTCAAGGCCTGCGCCGAACATTGCGCGACGGACGGCGCCGCGGCCGTCCGCGGCGCGCTCGACCGCGCGCTCACGTGCGGCAAGCGCGCGCGCGACCGGCGCCAGCCCGCGGTCGCGGCGCTCGCGGCCGCGCGCGGCGACGAGGGCCGGCGCGTCGCCTGCTACGGCGCCGCGCGCGCGCACGCGCGCGACGCCGGTGCGGCGGTCGTCGCGGACGCCGCCGCGCGCGACGCGGCCGCGGACGTCGCCGCGGCGCGCGCGCGGCTCCTCGCCTACGCGGACGGCCTCCTCCCGGCGGGCCCGGCGCGGCGCGCGGCCGCCGCCGCGGTCAACGGCGCGCTCCACGGGCCGACGCTCGCGCTCCGCCGCGGCGACGCCGTCGACGAGGCCGCGGTCCGCGCGGCCATCGACCGCGCCGTCGCGGACGCCGCGCGCTAGATTGTACGCCGCGGGGGGCTAGCCGAGCTTGCAGTCGAGGCAGCAGGGGTTGCCGTTGAACGTCTGGTGGTTTTTCGTCCAGTCCTCCTTCTGCGTGCCGTCCTTGCTGTCCGCGAACGTGTTCGTGCCCGCGACGCGGACGTAGGTGGCGTCGAAGGGGTAGCAGCCCGCGCAGCCATAAAACATGAGGAGGATGCCCTTCTGCCGGTAGCTGTCCTGGGACATGGCGATGCGCTGGTATTTCTTGCCCGTGCAGACGAGGGGCGAGTAGCAGCACCACTCGCCGTCGAGCGTCTTGGGGTCGACGCGGCCCGGGAAGTCCGCGCCGGGCGAGTCCGCGCCGGGCGGCGCCTCCGGCGCGACGCGCGCGGACATGGCCTGCGCGACGGGCGCGGCGACGGCCTTCTCGGGCGCGGCGACCGCGGGCGTCGCCGCGGGCGGCGCGAGCTGCTGGGCCGACGGCTGCGCGGCGAGCGCCGCGGCGAAGGCGTGGGGCTCGTGCTTCGTCGGTTTCGGGAGCGCGACGCCGAGGGCCTCGAGCTTCTCGAGCGTCTCCGTCGCCGCGCGGCCCTGCGCGTAGGCCGCGTGGCCGTCGAGGCCCTCGCGCGCGATCATGAGCTTGCGGTGGACGATCTGCACCTCGGCGA